AACATGTTGGAGGCTACCACCGCTATTGCTTTTCTGAACGGATATTGGTATATGGTGCCGGATTTCACCATACATAAAAGCTTGCGTTATCGATTTTTTGATCCCCTTTGCTTTTGCGAATATGAGAATTCGAGCAAGGGTTTGCTCGTCGACAAGGGGCAATAGACCTAAACAGCATAGACTCTTCTGATGGTTCGGCGAGAAGAGTCCACACACAAGGTGAGACAGAGGAAGAGAGAGAGAGAGAGAGAGAGGAAGAGAGAGAGAGAGAGAGAGAGAGGAAGAGAGAGAGCGAGAGACAGACAGACAGAAAGAGAGTGACAAAGAACTGATGCCTAGCAAGAGAAAAAATTTCCTGACCAACGCCACTTACACGTTCCTCTTCTTATCAATAGACTTACATGTTCACTGATTAGAGTGCGATAAATATCGTGAACTTCCGGCAGTTGGATCTATCGTTAGTTCCATCTCACTTGCACAAAATTTTCGAACATGCAATGATGGGGCAGGAATAACTACTTTCTTCAACTTTATTAATTTTTCCGCAACGCTTCAACATTTTCAAATAAGTCCACAACTTGTGCCATAATCAACGAAGTAAAAAAAAAAAAAAACAAGAAAATTATTTAAATTGTTTCAATTGTATTTTCCCCTTTCTTTCTTTCATTTGTGCATTTGCATATCTATCTTCCAATACTTTTTTCTTTTTTCTTTTTTTTGTGACTTTACAGTAAAAACGAGAACAAAATAAGATCATAACATATCATAACAATATGATACGGTAGCTGACTGCAATACAACTTCAACACAATGTTTGCCAATAAAATAAATCATATTTCAAAAGTTGTGTACATTTTGTGAAAAAAAAATGTGTTGTTTTTTTTTTCTGGTCTTTGGTTAAACAATATGTATATTTCTCTATGATTCGAAAAAAATTTTTTCTACAACATTTATAACTGTGTGTACATATTTATGTATACACCGGTGTTTTTCATAGAATTCTATTTATTTTTTTATTTTTTTATTTTTATTTTTTTCTCTTTTAAATGAAATTTATGATTAATGTTGCAACATACTTCATATATGTATCAGTGCATATAAATCGATGTATTGTAAGAGTGTGCAAAATATTACTAAGACGCATAACACTTTCAAGCACAGATAAGTTAAATAAATTATTATTTAAAGTAGTGCAAACGCCTACATATGAATATATGTTGTCGGGTTCTACTTATCGAATGGCTTTAATGCTTAAAAGTGTTTAACTACTCTCTACTAAAGTGGGAGTTTCTCTACTAATTACGACTAGAAATGAAATTCCATTGTAAAATATCTATAAAAATTTTAAATATTTCAAGAATTTATTTAAATATTTATGAATTTTCAAGGAATTTGAAGAGATCGCCATCGTTGCAAGCGTCATTTTTCTGGTCCAGAGAAACATGTGCCCACGTGCACCTAACTTGATGTATACCACTGGCTAAGTATGTTTTTTCCAAAATGCTTTCGAACGGCAACTATGACTCATTTCGCTTCGCTATGGAGATTAATAAGCTCATAATGCTAAGCTATTGTACGCCGAACACTTTAACCTAGGTTAACTAAACTTAACATTAGTTTTAAGGGAGCATCTTTAAACTTCGGTATACACTTCCGAATTGCAATCAGGGATAATTAAGTAATATGTATGTACGCATGCACATGTAATATGTATGACGTTCCTAATCCACTAAACTATATCTATTTCTTTGTCGCAGTCGCTCTAGAGGCAACTTACGTTAATAAGTAATAATAGTTTTACGTAGTTATAATTATAGTCTCCACCACTTATGGTACAATGACGTATTATGTTTGTGCGATTGTATAAAGCACCCATTTGGACTTGAGACAGCCGTGACTTTTCTTATACAAATTGATTGAAAATGAAATTCTGAAACGATTTAAGCGTGTCTGTCCGGTTAATTGTCCTGTTTTTTGCTATGGTCAACCTACAAGCGGCAATCTTTGAGATATTTTGATGAAATTTGTTATACTGAAGTATTTGGCCCAAGAAAGAGAGCTATTGAAAATCTTTCAATTCGCTACTCTTTTTTAACCACTACGCTGATAACATCTTATTTTGAAAAATCTTCATAAGTTATTTTTTTTTTAGGGCAAAAAAGTCCAAATTTCAATATTTTATTATAAAAATTGATCCATGATAGTACGGAATATAAGAACAAGGGATAACTTTTGTGTTTTAAAGCGAAAATAACTTTTGTGTTCGGCAATGTGGCGTCGCCTTTGCCTAACTAAAGTGTATCTACTTGTTGATAGTTAACAATTATATGGGTCCTTAAGACACTGTAGCGTTCCATCGAAAATTGTAACCATTTGCTGATAATGAAATCAAGCTATAATAGCATGCACTCAATAGCTTTTGGGTTTTGAAGAAAACAGAAACTCTTTCCATTTCCGAGTTCTTTCTAATCGATATTTTGCGTTCTTTATTAATTTACATTCTTTTTGCAAACACATGCAAATGCTTATGTAAATACACGTAGGCTGCTAATATCGTTTTCCGTATAATATTATTATTGCACTGTTTCTATAATATTCGTGAGAAAATTAACAAACAGCCCACACAATAAATGATTGTAATATTATTTTAAACATATGTGATACATATATATGTACATTTAATTTATAAACAAATTTACAATTAATCACACATTCATACGAGCGAAATATAAATATTTAAAGACTCCCATCGTTATGTGAATATTTACAACGAACGATTAACGTATAAACTCTACTACATTTTAACTAAAAATAAACATAAACAATATATATATGTACAAGCATATAAACATTAACTTATTTTATTGCAATAAAAATTGATACCAAACAAAGGGTTTTAATTATATTGTTGGTAACTTGATAAATATGCGATTTTTCATACCTATCGCTAAAGGATATTGGAGTGTGTTAGTTTTGTCATATCGAAGAACTGCTTATTTGACAGGGATCTTGTGCATATGTATATCGATATTGAATACTCGCCTCTCGTAATCAACAATGCAGATGGAAAAAATATTTTTTGATATAAGCACTTTTGACCTGTCATTTTATTTTAGTGAAAGAATTTCCAAGATTCGATTCCTGGTGCACAGAGTTCCTTAACATTTATATCAAGTGAACTATTCATGACAATCTATAAAATATCCAAACAGCGCCTTTAAACCATCAAGTGAGCTTTAGTGAAGTTCAGCGAACAAAAGCTATACCTTACTGTTCGTTTTGAAGAAAAATCGAAACAAGGTTATATTACTTTTAATTTACTTTAAATATAAAAGTCAAACCACTTTAAATTTTAACTAATAAATTTATAGCAATAAAACTATATAAATATATATTGTAATTGTATATGTCCCTGATTAATATGGGATTTCGAGTTCATTTACAAAACTTCGATTGTGAGTCCTCGTTTCATTCCTACTCTTTTCAAATCTCTTATAATGAAAACCTTAAACTTAACCCATAGCTTTAAATGAGATCCACAGGTCTACTACAAGCTGTTTCACGAAGCAAAAAAAAAGAACAAATAACAACTAGGCCACGGACTGCCCTATTAAATGCCGTGTGCCGCTTTACAGTTATTCTTGTAACGACTTTTCAAAATGAGACGTTACATGGGAAGTTATAGAAAAAGTTTTCAGATCATGATCATTTTCAATACCGTTCGTCCACGGGTCAGAAGACGTCGGTTTAACAAATTTTAACAAATTATCTCTGAATTTGGACACAAACAAACAAGGGAGGCAAACGGACAAACAACCTATTACTTATAAAACATTTAGGTTCCAATTTTGATTCCACTCTCTCCCCTGCTTATCTAAATCTTTAATACAGTATCGATCTCAATACATGGCTAATTGATATATCCAAATATGATAAAAAGCTTTTACTTAAAGTGATAGGCATGCAAGATTCGTCGACAAGTGAACGACAAACAAATGTTTCTTGTTTAATAGTGAGTTTAAAAACATTAAAAACAGCATTAAATTAATTATTCATTAATGTAATTATACAGCGTTTTTTTAAATAATATATCTACCTTAAATATTCCGAAAATCAATTAATTTTATGTATCATCAAAGAACGCAGGCATTTTGCGATTCCGTTTGTAACAAACATGAAAAACATGCTTTGGTTATCTTATTCTGTGTAAAAAGTATCCGAATAATTTACCTAAGTAGTTTCCCTACATTTACCTCTGCTATTACAAAGGTTCCTTTTGCTTAACGTGAGTAACTGCTATGAACTAAACGATCTCCAGAGGGTTAGACAAGCTAGGGGGCTGAACTGCACTGGAGAAACCAGATATATTTATAGTGTAGGAATTTCCCAGGATCACTCAGGTTAAGTCATACCGTTTAGTCTTAGGTCGACATATCTGATTGGCGAAGGATCTGAAGATCCGAATAAAAGTGAACACACATTTCTCCCAACAAGGCTTTACGTCGATCATGATCAACTCTAAGCTATAACTTACAGTCTTTATTTATTATAAGCTAGTTTGTAAAGAAAGAAAGAGATAGAGATATGAGGCACAATATTTTACTGATTTTACAGATTGTCTTCCTCAATATTTGTGTAGGTTTTCGAACTTATACTTAATTTCGATGGCGCTCACCTAAGAGTAGAAATGTTAGACGTTAGATATTGCGACCGCGAACTTTTTAACAACTGGCATTGGGTAAGGAGATAGTTAATATTCAGTCGAGTCAGGTTTTTCGGATTTTCAAAAATATTTTTTGCCTACGCCAGACTGTTACACAACAGTTCTAGGCTTTATCAATGAATCAAATCTAGGATACTTCTTGAGAGTGCAGTACTAATTCCTGTCCTATCGGGCGATGTTTGAACACTACTTATTATTGCGTGCAAAAATCGTATGTTATAGGCTATCGTATGCGAATGCAATCATTTATTAAAAATGTTCATATTTATGTACTCACTTTCCATCTGCCTGAAATGAAGACATCTCTGGTTTCAAAATAATTTAAAGTCTTTTTGTTTTTCTTCAATTGTTTTTATATCACTTTTAACCGGCTTCCTCTGTGATTAGCCGTGTAAACCGATTTCAACCGTTCTGAACGTCGTATTACTTGTTTCAAGCTATTATTTATTCTCGCCTGAAAATATATAAATAAAATAAATATTTTATTCATATTATTTAAGTATTCAATGTCCGTTAATACAGTTAAAAATTAATAACATTTTGTGAAAAATTTTTTACTAACATTTTCCATTGATTTAAGCGAACAAAAATTCTATGGATGACTTGAGACGAATTCTGAACACCTTTCATTTCAAGTCGAAATGTTCTTCCCGAAAGACATTTCCGAAATTTTTAAATAATTTTCTGTAAATTGATAACATGATTAGTCCTTGCTAATAATTAATATTTACATTTAATCAATTTTATTTTATTGACATCTACCCAAATTCATAGCTTACGGAATAATATTGAATGCATAAAACGTCACTCAATAAGTTCTTAGGCAAGCATGTAGATGTCGTTTTTATATAAACGAATCTATATGATTGTTACATAATACTAATCTTCCAAATAAATGTGTCAAAATTTTATGACATTTCGACGATTAGTTTATAAGTTGCAGTTATTTATATTTTTATGTGTGTGTGCGTGTGTGGTGTGACTTTTTTAAAAATTCCAACTTTTTGAATGTTGCAAAACGACTAAGAAAATTGGTTTACCTCTTGTTTTATTAGCCGTATGCAGGAAAATATTCATTGATACGCTTTCTTTACATATATGTTGCATAGTCGTTTATAAATTTTTTTTGTGTGTTTGTTTATTTATTTGCTTATTTATTAAAGCTTTTGAGCAGATGACCAAGCTTGTTTAATGGCAACTTTTAAACATAATTAATAACATCGCATATATGGATACAGTTTTTTGCTCATCCGGCAGAAATAAAAAATTATTATAAATAAGCATTCATATGAATTGAACTGATAAGTAATTTAATCACAAAAAATTTATTTATATTATATCGATGGCTTGATTTACGCGGTACCGCATTGAATACATTGGAACAATGAGATGAAACCATTTGAAGGGCAATGCGGGATTTTTAGGGAAACGCGAAAGTTTTTATTGTCCTGCACTATATACAATGGCAGTGTGCTATTTGTTTCTGCAAGAGATCCTTGCGAAAATACCGTCGAAGACAATGAAGAAATATTAACGTCTTTAAGGATTTCCACCGAATGGTCGACGAACCTCTCTCTATAAGCAATAAATTAAGCGTAAAGGAGAGTTCGTGTCGGTACAAATCTATGCGAAGAAAAGATACCTACCATGAGCAAAGACTCAGAATTTAGGTCCATGTAATTTTTTGAGCAAGATGTGAGAACGAATGCTGCCAACTACCTTGTAAAACGTTGATGGGCACAGATCACCTATAGCGTAGCAAACTTTTGCCTTCTTACGCTACGATTTACGTGCTTCGTTAAGAAAATCGCTTTGCAAGCAATCAAAGCTTTTGAGCTTTTAGAAATTGTCTTATTTCTATTGTTGTAATCTTCGAAAAAGTTAATGAACCCAAGCTAGATTTGAATAACGTTTTAATTCACACAGTAATTAGCGGACGATGTAAACGATGTGTTAATGTGGTATAAAGATTTATCAAGGAATTATTCCAAGTGTTAAATTTTCTATTGAAATGCATTAATTTTCATGACTATCTCTACATATCCATGGCAAACTTTTTTTAATTAAAAACCTAATTTTTACTATCTCACTAAGAGTATATTTCAAGACGAAACATAAAACTTTAATAAAATCATTCAAAAAATTACTAGAATGACGGAAACATACCCCAGTTTCGGAGAATTTCGGTCAATATCAACATTGCACATAACATCGTAGGCAATGTCATGCACATAGGATAAAATATAAGACGAGGATTAGGTGTAAATAAATATGAAGATATATTAACAAATACTTGTAATTTTCATTGAGATAATCATAATAGCAACACATTTATGACAAAGATGCAAAAAAAAAAAAAACACTTTTTTATCTGTACTGTAAAAATATATATATTTATAGAAATTTATAAATCAAGTAAAATTTATAGGGCACTTAACTAATAGCTCTTCTGCATTTTAAGTCATAGGCCGATCAATGAAGCTACGGTTTGTTAGTTTCTAATGAAGCAAAAACATATATGAAAACCTATATTCCATTGTCTGCCTACCACCAATCGCTTGCAGGCTCTTATTTAATTAACACATATAAGTATTCACGGGCGATCACACTTAATGTACCTACATTTGTGTATGTTTAAGTAGTACGCACGTGTAGACATGTGCATGCAATTATATGATTTCATTATAACAAAAAAAAAAAAGAAAACCAAGAGAAAATTTTATATGGCTATGGCCGAATTTTTAATGCCCATCATCATCTAGCTGAATAAACAGAAAAAGCTGGGGAAAAAAAAATATTAAATCTCGATAATCTATTAATGAATGATACGTGTTCCTCTTTTCCATTTTTGACACGTCCGTAGAATTTACGTAGATATTTTTACAATTGTATCTGTTTTATTTTATGAATAAAGAGCGCAAAAGTCTTTTTATTTTTCTTCTCAGTTTATTGGATTCATTTTTAATCCAAACCTGCATACAGGAAATTCCAATGTTTTTGTCAAAATTAGCAGTGTTTCTCAAATAGCAACCGAACGAACAAACGTAGCTAAATTGAATCTGAATAGGATACTTGCACTTTAGAGTGATCGCAGCTTCTTCGTACGTGGTTGCAGGAGATTCAGTAAAATAAAGAAATTTCGACATTTCATAACAGTGGATGGACGAGGCTGGTTTTTATTTTTTTTTGTTTTGTACATATTGTATGCCATTGTTCACCCAATGTGTGTTGTGTTCTTGTTGTACTAAACAGAGGTGGTGGGAGGATTCGGTCCATTGACAATATAAATCTACTTTCAATTACTTGCAATGCTTACAATGTTTTCTGCTAAAGTTGAAGGAATACGACGACAAACGGACAGACTCGCTTAGACAGATTTAAAATTTAATGCATATTAATCAAGAATACATTCATTTTACTTTCTTCCGGTCGTTGCAAACCGTTTGATGAAATTAATGTACCATAAGTATAAAATGCAGAAAAAGAAAAATAGGTCACAAGTCGAGCCGTATCGGATTTTTCTTGTTTCTGGGAAATGTAAATTAAAGGTTTGCGTTAATGTATACAAGCAGACAGACGGCACATCTTCATCAAGGTTTTATTGTATCGCATTGCTGTTTATGCTTTTTGTATGCGAAGCAATACATGTACTTATTATCCTTTGAACTGTTTTTTTTTTTTTTTATTAATATTTTAAAAAGTTATCATTCAGCTTTGATCAGCCTTTATGGCTGAGAAATATTGTTAACAGTACTGATGGAATTTTGTTTGTGGTTTTTACAAAAAAAAAATAAAAAATAAAAAACACAGAAACAGAAGCAGAAGCTGAAACAGCTTTTCCATGCCTAAGTACAGAAATGAGTTTGCTCAAGAGATGTCTATCGTTTGCAAACAAATATCATATAAGTGTTTTCATTTATTACATATACCGAAGGGTATATCAACTCTATTATTCTGTCTGTAGAGCATATATAGACATATTTCAACGACTTTGTAAAGATTGCATACATCGCTTTAAAAAACCGAGTGCGAATCTAACTCGATCTTTACATTCACCCTTTTCGACATATTGGAAATAGATAGGCAAAAGTTGATTGCGATCGACTAGTTATTGCAGGAACTATAGTATGTGTACCGACTGATATGCAACAAAGTCGGGTTCATATTCCAAGCAAAGTCGAACTATTAGTTTTAATGGATTTTTAGAGGAACTGATCAGATCTCATATCAGATTAAAACTGTTGCGAATTAATTAGAAATTTAAAAAATTTTTTTTTGTTTTGATAAATTAATTTCAATATAAAAAAATACGAACAGGGGTTTTTTTATCTAATATATCCCAAACTTACGAAGGACTCCTTCCATTTAGCTTAGATATCAAATATATGAGATTGATAGACTACTGAATTCCTCCTTCCATATCCCAAGATTATGAAGCATCCCTTCCATTTATCTTAGAAATCAAAAATATGAGCTTGTTAGACTGCTGAATACCTCTTTCCATAAAGATTTTTTTTTTATTATTATTAAAGGAATTCACTCTTTAAATGTGTTAGTCTTTCGCTATTTTACGTATGTGTTTGTTATGCTTGCGGTATGTTATGTAAATGCAATTGATTAACAAATTTGCCTGCAATAGAATTTTCAAGCTTACATAACAAGTTACTCTTACTTCATTTTTATACGAATTGATGAAAAATATTTTCTTTATTTTCTTAAGATTTGAAATGCAATTTTTAGTTATCCAAATGTTCGACCAATCCGCAATTTTCTACTATAATTTATATTAATTCTTTTTTTTTGTACTTCAAATTTGTTTTAAGGAACATGCAAATGAAGCTAAAAATTTAAAGGCAAAAAAATATACCGTAAACTAGAACGTACATGTATACACTGATTATAGATAATAAATGACATCGAGAAATAGCTTGAGTAATTTGCAAGTAATTGAAGCCCAGAAATGAAATTGAAACGTTTTACCACAAAATTTAAAACCATTTCCAGAGAATTTTACTACACATACTTATCAGGGATAAAGTAAGGAAAGCAAAATGATTGTCTCCTACCATTTTTGTTAAAATAATTACACCTTAGACAACTTTATACTCTATACCAATTCTGTGGTGTACAGTACATTAAGTTTTTCTCGGATGTATGGGAGAGAACTTACGACAGACTTACATTTTATTATACCGATCGATTTAGAATCATTTTCTGAAGAGACTCCGATTTTTTTTGTAATATTTTTTGATGAAAATTGGCCCATAATAGATGTTTAGCGCAACATATATAGGGGCTTATCATGAAAGCAAGTTCTTTTATGAATAGAAAATATCATCTTTAGTTTTCTAAGATGAAATCTGAAAAATATAAAATTTTTGGGGAGCAAACTAAATTTGCGTCAGATGATGTTTTGGGCATTCTTCTATATGCGGGCTCTCGTGAAATGCATGC